CCTACAGCTTCCCAGAGCCACCTGCCTACCGGGGTCTCTTCTCTGTAAGTGGGGAGCAGCCCCCTCCCACTCTGGGGAGCAGAGGAGGCTCTCTGTACCCTGACCAGCACACCCACTCATCCCCTCCAAACTGCTAGAAGCAAACGGAGGCTTCCCACGCTCAGGAACTGCTCAGCCTCTACCTTCAGGTGGCTGCTTCTGATGAACGGACGCCTTGGCGGGCACACCAGATTTCAGAGTCCTCAAATCCCACAAAACATCAAGTATCACATTTAGAAGTTTTTATATTGATTACATGTTGAAACGATAATGTTTTGAATATATTGCATTAAACATCTGGCACCGAGTTCCACCGAGTTTTCACTTTGTTTTTAAAAATGTCTCGCTGTTGTTGAGACATAAGTGACATAACACATTGTAGCCGCCGAAGGCGTACAACATAATGATTTAATATTTGTGTATATTGTGAAATGACCACCCTGATAAGTGTAGTTCACATCCATCACCTCACATATTATATATATTTTTCCTTGTGATGAGAACTTTTAAGTTCAACTCTATTAGCAACTCCCAAATACACCACCCAGTAATCTACAGCCACCGGGCCATCCTGGGACTTCCTTGTGATAGGATGATTGTACCTTTTGACCCCTGTCATCCAAGTGGGACCTTTTTTACTTTATTTAAAGTGCCCACTAGCAAATATAATCTTTTTTTAAAATATTTTTATTTATTTCTAGCAGAGAGAGAGAGAGACAGCGTGAGCAGGGGAGGGTCAGAGAGAGAGGGAGACACAGACTCCGAAACAGGCTCCAGGCCCTGAGCTGGCAGACAGCACAGAGCCCGACGCGGGGCTCGAACCCACAAACCGCGAGATCATGACCTAAGCGAAAGTCGGACGCTTAACCGACTAAGCCACCCAGGCGCCCCCAAATATAGTCTTAAGATACGCAGCTTGTGATCTATTTCTGGGCTGGGGTAGACCTTGGCCTCCAGAAGACTGACCTCGCAGGTGGAGGTTGCCTATGACCCCAGAGCCCTGCCCGCTCCCCAAAGGATTGGCTTCGCCTTTGCCTTGCAGAGGAGGCTCTGTGTTTTCTCCGCGCTGCTGCGGGCAGGGCAAGAAAGGACGCTGGTGGCAGTCGCGGGATAAAACACACAGCGCACACAGGGGGCACCCGGATTTGAACCGGGGACCTCTTGATCTGCAGTCAAATGCTCTGCCCCTGAGCTATACCCCCAGGCCTGCGTGCCGAGTCTCACGCACGCTCTTCTGCGCACGCAGCCACATCCGGCCGCGCCGGCCTCGGCGGCCTGCGCGCCTCCCGCTTCGCGCCAAACTGGCCTTTCTTCTCCGAGCGCCCGCTCGCCGCTCGCACTCCTGCCCGAGTTAGGTGGCTCGCCTGATCTTGCGCCCAGGACCCCTCTCCTTACCGAGACCCCGAAACCCAGGCCTCCTGGAGTCCCTCGCCACGCCCAGCGTCGGGTCTGAGAGCGCGGGCCACCTCGGTTTTGCGTCTGGCATCTTCGCTCGCCTGCCCCTTTCGGCCCTTTCTCCCCAGCGCCCTGCTGTCTCTCCTCTTCCCACTGCTCCATGATGTCACTCAGGGCACCACTCACCTCTCCTAATCACCGGGACCTCTTTGGGCCCCTTCCCAAATCAAGTTTTGCCTTCCCCAAAGTAACTCCTTACCTGAGCTGTAACTGGAAGACCAGGCCCAGTAAATACAACGGAACAGGTTGGAAGCTAAGAGAACCGTGAAAATAACACCGGATTTGTCCTGGTAAATACTAGAACATCTACTAACAACAGCCCAAGGACAGAAATACCTGAACCCAGACCTGGGAATCCACCTGGTATATACACAAATGTCCTAAAATAATCACTGATGTTTACCGAGGAGCCGTTAGGTTCACGACAGCCCCTAGGATTGTTATCCCCATTGTACAGATGAGGAAACTGAGGCGCCCAGGGGTTACAGTAGTCCAGTGTGAAATGACTAGTAAGTAGGGTTGCAAACTTCTGCAGTCTGGCTTGCCCGCACACTTGAATAGTGTTTTACTTGATAGCTGCAGCAGTCACAAATGCACAGGGGAAAGGAAAGATCATGTGTATAAATTATACTGGGAGAAATCATCCGGCTTTTTGGGAAAAATAAAGTAGCAACTAAACTCTCTGTATATCAAAATAAAGTCCAAGTGGATGAAAGCACAATGTATAAATAAATAAAAGTAAAAGAGTATAAATGGATATTTATACTATGAATATCAAACTGCTTTCTGAACAGCAAGGAAAGCATCTCAGTGGATGAAACCCCCAACAGAAAATACCATTAGATTTGGCTGCATAAGCATTAAAAGTTTAGCTATATGAACAAAATCAAAAGGTTAATAGCAAGTTGGGAAAATATTGTCATCATTTATGATAGGCAAAATATTACGAATTAATATCCTTTACATGTAAAGAGCCCACATATGGTGACAAAGGCCATCAGGGATGTGTTCAATCTCAGTAAATCAGAATAAATGTTAGGAAAACCAAAGAAACACAAATTAAAACATTATGATACTTTTCATCTGTCAAATCAGAGAAATATTTTTCTGCGACAAAAGGTATTTCTTTCAAAATCAGAACACCCAATAAATATTACAGATTTTTTTTTAATGTTTTTTTTTTATTTATTTTTGAGAGAGAAAAAGAGAGAGAAAGAGTGAGCAAGGGAGGGTCAGAGAGAGAGGGAGACACAGAATCTGGAATAGGCTCCAGGCTCTGAGCTGTCAGCACAGAGCCTGACGTGGGGCTCGAACCCACGAACCGTGAAGATCATGACCTGAGCCGAAGTCGGACGCTTAACCGACTGAGCCACCCAGGCGCCCCTAAATATTACAGATTTAAGACTAGTCCCTTCTAGTAATTGCAAGCAATACCATTTCCAATTGACGTAACTAATAAGTAATTGCTTTAAGATCAAAAGAATCAATGGCATAATAATTTGGGAACTACGTATTATAACTTACATATAACTCATTTCAGTTTTCGTAGGAATCATTATTTCCATTCTGAAGATGAGGGTACAGCCTCAGAACGTTTCCAAGAGTCATTTAATGAATACTTAGTAAGTACCCACTCCGTTCCAGGGTCTAGTCTAGCACCGAGGGCTCAGCAAGGCAAACAAACGAGGTCTCTGCCTTCCAGGCCCATGTATTTCCGAGAGGTGTGGGGGTAACAGACAAGAAAACAAATAAAGGAGCCAGATCATTGCAGATACTGAAAACACAACAGGAACACAAAGCAGGGTGATGTGATGGAAGATAACGGGGGTGAACTGGGTGGGGGGGTGAAGGGGTCAGGGAAGTGACCATTTGAGAGGAAGTACGAATGATAAGGCAGCGGGTAGAAAGCGGATGCGGAGCGTTCGGGGCTGTGGTACAGTGACTGGCAAGGCGGGAAGGCACACAGTAGCTTGGCAGGATGGAGGCGTGTGAGCAGTGCCAGGGTGGCCGCCGCAAAGGGGCAGAGCCGGACAGGGGTTCACGTAGAGGTCAGCGCGGTGGGGGAGGGTCAGACGTGGGCTTTATTTCACGTGCCACCGAGGGAAGGGTGGAGCCTGGACTGAACACAGATTGTCTCGTCGTGGACAGGGGCGCTCGAGAACTTCCGGATGGGCTCTCCCAGGTGGTCTCAACGCGGACCTGTCGTCTCTGGCCTGAGGGCAACAGCTTCCCGTGTCAGACTGTAAGTCCCTTTGGCTACAAATTTAGGTTTGTTATTCTTCACTCAGTCCACTTGGTCCCTGTCTTCGTGGAGACAACTTTATTTAAAAAAATTTTTTTTAACGTTTATTTTTGAGAGAGAGAACCCAAGTGGGGGAGGAGCAGAGAGAGAGAGGGAGACACAGAATCCAAAGCAGCCTCTAGGCTCTGAATTAGCTGTCAGCACAGAGCCCGCCACGGGGCTCGAACCCACAAACTATGAGATCATGACCTGAGCCGAAGTCAGATGCTCAACTGACTGAGCCACCCAGGCGCCCCAGGAGACAACTTTCTAATGGAGGACACACACATGTCATCAGGTACTTCTTCAGTGGTAATTGTGATGACTGTCATGGACCCATAGATGGCATGGGGTGACCCTAGTCTGTGGGGCTCCAGGAGGCTTCTCCGAGGCAGTGACATTTCCATAACACCTCACAGGAAAAAGAGAAGTTAGGCGGGGATGAGCGGTCCCAGAGGACTGTGCAATTTGGGTGGAGGCCTGAGCCGGAGGAGTTGAGTGAAAGCCAGGGTGCCTGGGTCGGGGAAGACAGCCGTTTGTGGGTTGAACAGTGTCCCCCCAAAATTCACGTGCATCCAGGAACCTCAGAATGTTGCATTATTCAGAAATACGGTCATTGCAGATTTAATTAGTTAAACTAAGATGAAGTCATACCGGATTAGGGTGAGTCCTTAATCTAATTGGACTGTTGTCTGTATTTTTTTTTTTTAATGTTTATTTTTGAGAGAGAGAGAGAAAGAGAGAGTGAGCCTGCGTGAGCAGGGGAGGAGCAGACAATGTGGGGGACAGAATCCCAAGTGGGCTCTGAGCTAACAGTAGACAGCCCGATGCTGGGCTTGAACTCACAAACCGTGAGATCATGACCCGAGCCGAGGTCCAACGCTTAAGGGACTGAGCCACCCAGGCGCCCCAGGACTGTTGTCTTTATGAAAGGAGAGACACACGAGGAGAACACCGCGTGAAGACACACACATACACGGAAAACGCCATGTAACGACAGAGGCAGACACTGGAGGGATGTGTTTACAAGCCAACGGATGCCAAGGATTTCTTCTGGCAGCCGCCAGACGCTGGGAACAGATTTCCCCCTCAATTTCTGCTGTGCAAATCCCCGGTTTGCAGCACTTTGCTATGGAACCTAAGTTACTTAGCAAACTGATGGCCTCAGATAGGGCTGGAGAGCTGGGCGGGGCCCAGAGGGCCCTGCCCGGAGTTTGGATTTTACCCTTAGAGCAAGGGGGACCCGCTGCTCTTAGGGTGACCAACAAAAGAAGACCGTGCTCCCATCTGCATCGGAGGATCCCAGCCCACTGAGGCTCCGCACACGGTTCCTCTAACGCCGGGTGATTGTGAACCGCCCTCCCCTCCCCCGCGAGAGCCGCCTTCCCGGTTCTGAGCCGGGCCTGCAGGTACCGTGTCCACTTCCTGCAGATAACAAGCGGACATTCTGGGAAAAGGTTAGGCAATATGCATCAAAAGCCTTAAAACAAACAAACAAACAAACAAACAAAACCCCATACCCTTTGACAGGGCGTAACCAGGCAAATATTTGGGAATGTATGAAAGAACAAGACGTCCGGCCGCTCGGCCAGGGTGCTTCTCAAGGTCCCCCTCCGGGTGGTGCAAATACGTCTGCCTCCGGCTTAACCGATCTTAACCGACCGGGGCTTGGGGCGAGTGGCCAAACGGCAATGCTGCCCGCGAAGGGGCGGGTGCGGCGCGGCTCCGGGGCCAGCCCGGGCTCTGGGGCCCGGGGCGCCCCGGGCTCCGCTCCCCGCCCCCTCCTNCCCGGGGCGCCCCGGGCCCCCCCCCCCCCCCCCCCCCCCCCCCCCCCCCCGAGGCGGCGGGTCTCCGGGGTGGGGCCGGTCCCCGCGCTCCGCCGCGCGGCCAACCCGGGGCCTGCCCTTTGTGTTCGCACCCGGATCTGCACAAAGCACGGGCCCCGCGAAGCTCGGGAGCGCGGCCGGGCAGGCGGGGGGCGCGCGAGGAAGGGCTGGGCCCCGGCGGGGCGGCCTCGGAGGGAGGGCCCCTCCCCCCCCACCCCGGGCCCCCAGGCCCCCGGGGACGGGCCCCCGGCGGACGCGCGGCGGCCACCCGCGCCACCACCGAGAGGCGGGCGTTCCTAGAGCGGCCGCGGGCGGCCAGGTGCGCGCGGCGGCCTCCGGGCTCCAGCCGGCAGGGGGCAGCACGGCCGCGGCCGCCCCACGTGGCGGGGGCGCGGGCGGCGAGGCCGAGGGCCCGGGCCGGCCTGGGGGCGCCGGACGCCTTCCGCGGCTGGCGGGGCGGCGGCTCGGGCAGCTCGGGCCGAGGAATTTTTAAAGTTCAAGCCATTAAAGATTAAATTTACGAAACGTACCTACATGCATTTAAAACAAACCTACGGAAATAAAGTTTTTGGAAAGAAAAGCTGCCGAGTGGCTTTCCTCCAGCCCTGGCTCCGTCGGCCCGCGGCACGGCTCGCAGCGCCAGTCCCCGCTTCCCAGGCGCGCGCCGGGGCCGGGCTCCGGCCGGAAGGGAAGGAGCGGGGGGGAGGGGGGGATGGGGGGGCCGGGGCGCCCCTGGGGGCCCCGGGCTGCACCGCCGGGTCGTGGGTGCGCGTGCGTGCGGCCGAGCCGAGGGCGCGGAGCCGGGCACCCGGAAGCCGCAGAGCCCCGCGTCGCCGCCGGCCTGTGCAAACAGACGGACGACGGTGACAGCGCGCGGCCGGCGGGGGAAGGGTGGGAGGGCTCCCCGGGTGCGGGGGATCCCAGCGGCTCCATGTCGCCGCAGTGCAGCTGCTGCCCGCGGGCCCGTGGACTCAGGAGGGAGCTGGGGGACCCTCCTTCCAAGGCAGACAGCCCAGAGGATGTCTATCGTCGCCCCTAGGCACCCTGCGACGGTGGCAAGAGGTTTTGGCCGTGACCCGGGGGCTCCACCTAATATTGGGGCTGAAATATCGGAGGGAAAGATAAAATACAGTTTTTAATGATATCTTTTTTAGAGATTTTGGGTCAGTTTGAATGGAGAAAATCATTAGCACCCCAGCGAGGCAGAGGTTTGGGGTTTCACCTGTGTTTCTTCCTGCACAGTGTCACCTGCGGCCCATTCACCCAAGCATTTTAACATCTGCCGCCCGCCTCGCGTGGGTCAGCCCTGGGCGCCAGATGTAGGAGCAAACCGCCCGCCTTTGGGAAGACTGAGCACAATTGCACCCCCCCCCGCCCCCCGCCTGGAGCCGGGTGACCCTCAAAGCCGGCAGCAGCTGTGTTGTGTGGCCAGGGTCCTGCAGGCGTAGCTTGCACCTGGATCTTCCCTTGCCTTCACAGGGTACGCATTTGCTGTAAAAATAACTTTGGGGATCCTTGTAGCTTCTGACGGGGCTTTTCTGGGACATCTGTGCTGCTAATTCCCCCTGCCTTCCAGGGATTCTTGGAGAGTATCACCTCGCTAGATTTCACTGGGACTCGCCACTGTCTGATGAGAACATCTGCCCAGCATCGTCGAGGTTATAGAGAATAGAAATGTTCATAGCCCCCAAAGGAAGAAATAAACCTTGTGCCCCATCAGAGAATGAAGTAAGCATGGAATGTATCTCAGGATAAATTAAACACACAGAGTTTGGATTGAACTGGGAAAAGGTGAAGTGAGAAAGGTGGACAGAGACCCCAAAGGCAGCCCCAGGGCCAGGGGAGGGCTGATCAGGTGGGCTTAGTACCTCCCTGGCACCCTGCCCGGGTTATTTTACTTGTTTACCTTCTGAAAATGGCTTATTTAAACTGGATCCTGGGGCTAAAAACAAAAGCCCCCAAACACTGACAGATGAAGCCCAGAACATTTGGCTGATGGTTGTATATTTGATGATTTGGTATCCTTAATCTGAAAGGCATTCTAAAATATTATAGATTTGGTTTCTTCCAAATAATCTGCTTCATTTCACAGGTGTGGAGGCGGTTAAACGTCCTCATCCTGGGTGGTAAAGAAAATGATTTCTTCTGTTACATTTACTGAGGAGACTTGATACCTTCTTCTGAAAAAATAAAGGGCTCAATCAATTTTAAGATAAACTTTTATTGTTTGGAACTCAGAAATTCCTTTCACAGGAAAAATAATGCAATTTTCATTTGGTGGAAAAGGGGCTTAAATTAAATTCTAAAATTCTATTCTGTGCTTATTACATACTAATGTGAGTTCATCTTTTTGGTAAAATGAACACCCAAGCATGTTTGTATGCAGTTTATGCCCGTTCCAAGACTCTCAAGAGCTGGCACGGATTCGGGCAAGAAAAATGTGTCTATTTCTTCTCAATATGTCTGCTGTTTGAATTAAATATACTGGAGATTGGTGTAATTTGGTCCAGATATTGACTTGTTTTTTTTAGCAGTGCACTGAAATGTTTGAGGTTTAATTTTTTTCAAACTTCTTTCAAAATGTATTACAAACCTTTGGCTTGGTAAATCATCCGTTAATTCAAGATAAGCTAAGGATACCGCTGCATTGAAGTGGGAGGGGAATAATAGTAATTTTAGTTGGATATGTTATTAAATTGTTCGGGGGGTAACTATGCAAAATCAATGTACTGCTTTTACTTTCGGACAAAATTAATGTGGCTTTTAGTACACGTGCTGCCGAAGCAGGCACTTAATGTGGCTTTCAGTGATGACGATGGAGCCAGGTAGGACAACACAAACTGAGTGGCTCAGTTGGTTAAGCGTCCGACTCTTGGTTTCGGCTCAGGTCATGATCCCCTGGTTTGTGAGTTCGAGTCCCGAGTCAGGCTCTGTGCTGACAGCATGGAGCCTGCTTGGGATTCTCTCTCTTTCTCTCTCTCTCTCTCTCTGCCCTTCCCCCATGCTCTCTCTCTCTCCCAAAAAGAAATGAACATTAAAAAAACCACTTTATGTATTTTTAAAAAATTTCTTTTTGTGTCTTTATTTTGAGAGACAGAGACAGAGAGTGAGTGGGGGAGGGTCAGAAAGGAGACACAGAACCCGAAGCAGGCTCCAGGCTCTGAGCTGTCAGCATAGACAGACATTGAGCTGTCAGCCCAATGTGGGGCTCGAACCCACAGACCGTGAGGTCATGACCTGAGCTGAAGTTGGACGCTTAACCATTGAGCCACCCAGGCGCCCCTAAAAAGAAAAAAAAAACACTTTAAAAAGGATACTACATTCACAAAATTTTATCTTAGATTTTAGAATTTATAGAAAGAATTTGCCTGCAGAAAATTTGATCAGGGAGCCATGTGGCTCTTGGCCATCCCTTCAGTGGAAGAATGGCAAAAGTCATGTTTCATATTCTGTTTAACCTTCCGCTGAATTTAGGTTAAATCCAATCAATTTCAATCCTTTGAGGGCCCCACCTTAGTGTTTTTGTGTCCTGTAAATAAAGAACTGACTGAATACCGTTCTTAAAAAGGTATACTTCGACGATTCTGATTCTAAAAGGAAACAGTTTGTTATCCTGATATTCATTATTTAAGTAACAGATAGAAGTTTTCCCTGGTATATTTCATCATTAAAATTCACCTTTCCATTTCTCCAGTTAATAGATGGTAGTTACGCTCCTATCTTCCACTCGAGGTAATTGGGAACCGGGGTATTATGTACAAAGAGAAGCGGCGAGTTTCATTCATGCAGTAGCCCTGGCAGGGATGGTGAGAAGGAGCAGTGACGACCACAGGCAGTGTCGCCTGGAAGAGGAGAGTGGGATTTTATTAGGGAGCAGGTGCATTTCTTTGTCATCATCTCCCTCGCTCAGCAACTCTGTTAAACAAATGGCTTGTTAGCTCCCGACTTCAGAAACAAACAGAAGGGGAGCCCCTGACCTTAACACACGGTTGTTTTCCCAAATGCCTTAAGCAAGAGAGAGGCTCCGTTTTAAACGGTGGGGGGCGGGTGGGGGCGGGTGGATTCGTAGCTGGGCAGCTCAGCCACTGAGGCACCCACAGGTGAGCTGGGCCTCCCAGGGTGGCTGGGTCCCTGGGCTGCAGGCCTGGCCAGGCCTGGCTGAGCCGGGCTGGCGGGCCAGTGAGTCCACTGCTTCCAGCCAGATGCAGAACTTAGGCACAGTGTCCCCGGGACAGTCAGGGCTGCGAATCCGAGAGAAACAGTACTCCTTGCCTTTTTTATTAAGGCTCCGCGCTGAAGAAATTGGGAGGCAGTATATAGCAGCAGTTAACAGCACACACACTCTGGGTCCCACACACTCAGGTGTCTATTCTGGCCACGTGACCTTGGACTAATTGCTTGACATCTCTTAACTTTATCTGGAAAAGGCGGGCATGAATACCAATTTCACAGGTGATCACGAGAGAAAAATGAAGTGAAAGCATTTAGCGCAGTGCCTGGCACATAGTAAGACCCGCTGAACCATGGCGATGATGGTTCTCGTCCCTCAAACTCAAGGCTGGGCTGTGCGCTGACCGGAAGTCATCCAGCACGCCCACTGTCAGCAGCACTAGATTTAGTTTTTCCTTGTCTCGTTCTTTCTTTCCCCTTCCTTCCTTCCTTTCTTCTTCCTCTCTCTCCCCTTCTTTCTTTTTTTTTAAAAAGGGGTTTAGCCTGGAGTTACGGCTTGTAGAAAATAGAAATAGAAGGATTAGATTCTATTATATTTTAATACAAATACTCATTTTAAGGAACCCAACTAGAAGTGATACATGAAGAATTGTTTTTTTTTTCTTTTTTTCAATTTAAATCTAGAGGTTCCCGCTACGCCTGGGAGGCAGTGAGAGGCTTCAGTAGCCAAACAGCTTTCCAGAGCTGGAGGAGAGGCCTTGGCCTGACTCACCGTTGCCCTGGCAACAGGAGGGCCTGGAGGCCTCCGGCCCTGATCCCTTAATCTGAGGAGCCTCCACCACTGTGCCTCGGGAAAGGTCTCCCACAGACACCTGGCTGGTTAAAGCATCGAGAGGAGACGGAGGAGGGGCTCTTTCCAGGAGCACAGCTGCCTACGTGTCTCCGTGATGGCCTCCGCTTTCCCGACCCTCAAAGGCTCGGTCTAGAGGCCCAGGCTGCAAGATCGGAAGTGCTGTCAAGGGAGATGCCTTCCTATCCTTCTGTGTCTCTCCTTGGGGCCCCACACAACTGCTTTGCACACAGGTGGTGCTTAATAAGTACCTGGGGCTGTAGGACGAGGAGCATCCCCAAGGGACCAGACTCAGGCCCCCCCAGCCCCCCAACCTGAGTGAAGACCCTGCGGCGCAGGCACTAATTTCTCCAGCTGCAATGCCCTCGACTCCACATGGAGGCCTTTTTTGCCTCTACAATCTCTTCCCTTCTCTGACGACGTTGCTGATTTTGGCAAACATACGGCCCAGGACATGTTCTGCGCATCATACTCTGTTTCCTCAAATTTTGTCTTGAACCTGAGGATAAAATGGACTAATTGGAAAGAGGTGCTGGCTTTCCTTTTCCAATAACCATTCAGATCCCAGGGAAAGAACTCTGTGGTCAAGCACATGGGTATAGGAGTCAGAAAGACTGGAGTTCAAATTCTGACTGTGCCATTAGGTTGCTGTGTGACTTTGGGCCTAGTCAGCCTCTCTGAGCCTAACCTCTTCATCTGTAAAATGAGTAGAACGTAAAGTCTTCATAGTAAGCAGCATTCAATTAATGGCAATTACTCTTTCTGGTACACAACTCCATGGCAACTGGTTTGAGTCTGGCCTTCTAATTAAATTAAGGACGACGGAGGAGAGCACTGTGGACGGCTACCAGCTACCCAGAAAGGCTGGGGTACCGCCCACTGCAAACTCTGGCTTGGGGCTGACAGGTGCGTTTCAGCCCCTGTCCACTGTGCTACCGAGACCAAGATGGAGTTGTTGGCGTGCTTTTCAAGTTCTTCACGCTGAAATACTTTCCCGCTTCTGCCTGTGGGGGACAATCTCCTTCCCAGAGATTCATTCTTTTAGGATACAACACCAGCGCGCTACCTACCTGAACTTGTTTTTCCTAAATTAAGCCGTCTTTAATTATGAGCTAATAATGAATCCACAAACTTTTACTGAGACCTTAGCGTGTGCCAACCTCTTTGCTACCTATTTATTCTTTACCTTATTTAAGCCTCCAAACAATGGAGCCCTTATTGTCCCTATTGAACAGGTGAGGAAGTTGATGTTCCGCTAATTAACTGGTTCAGGGCCATAGAGCTGTCAAGTTGAGATCCACATCTGTTCCACTCCAGAGTCTGTCTGCACTTTGGTGACCGTCCTTGGGAGCAGTTGGCCTCTGACGCCATGGGGATCACGGTGGATGGAAAGTGAGAATCACCATGGTGTGAGCGAAGGGACACCGCAGAGCACAGGGCCTCCCCCACCCCCACCCCAGCAGAAGAGGTCTGGAGAAGAGGTTAGAGCCAAGGAAGGGAAGATGGAGACACAGAGAACCCCCGAAAGCCCAGCCCAGCCCCACACAAGTACCAGTCCCGGACTATATTTAATCCTTTATAACCAGATTTCCTAGGGAAAGAAAGGCTCACCATTCGCACATGGCCCACAGTGCCCCGAGGATGCCCTGGTAACCGTGTATGACAAAGGAAGTCACCCCGAGCCCCCCCAGACCGCCGTGGCCTCCTCCTCAAGTATGAGCATCTCCGGCCCTCTTTGGTCCTCCAGTGCCAGGACTGGTAAAGATGCTGGGCACCAGTGGCCCTTCATCAAGTGTCTCAAGGCCTCTGCTAACATCCCGTTTCCTCTGGCCTCCCTTCAGCCCCCAGCCACCAGACCCGTCATCCGCGGCCTGCCCACTGCACATGGCTGGTTCCCCCAGATGTCTGACCGCTGCACATTTCCTTCCCGGCCCACCTCGGTCTCCTGCTGTCTGTCTGCATCATGCCTCTCCTCCTCGGCAACGGCTTCCCGTACGAGAGCAAATCAAACTCCATGGTCGTGAAGTCTTAGATCCAAGACCCTCTCTGCACGAAGAGTCTGCTTCAAGCCAACGTTTTTGACCTTGGGTGTCTACACAAGCCCCTTTCTCCAGTTCAGTGGGTTTAGTCAGTCACTGCTTCTTAACATTGGAGCCCGTTTTCCATATGTCCCCCTTTAAGAATCTCGCCACCGAGAAGGCCTGGCCCATTTTTCTCATCCAGGGAATCCTCCACAGTCCAGGATGGGATCTGACACCCCCCCCACCGCCCTCCCCCCGCCCCCGGAGAAGAGAAGCTCTTCTTCCGACTTCTCCAGGCTCTTCCTCCTGCCGTCTGCACAGGGGCCTCACCGCCTGCTCCTGGATCTGACTCTGCTCTTCCACCAGGACCAAGGCTGGCCTCACAAGCCCTTCGCACCAGCCCTGGCCTCCGCCCGGCCTCCGGCTGCTTGCTCTAATGTCCTACCAGCCTTTGGAAACTTTCCAGACAAGTCAGATCCTGTCAAATGTGAGACCTTGAGCATCGCTTCCCCTCTGCGCCTCAGTTTATGCATCCTTATAAAGGAGGGGGTTGACGACCTCTTGCTCTCTGGGGAGTCAATAATATGGCACCTTTTCCCTCACATTTCCTTTTCCGATCGCCCACGTACAATGACCGCTCCTCTCCACCCTCAGGCTCATGGCTTAACCTGCCTCCCGTCAGCACTTCTTGTCTCTCCCGCTGTTCTCCCCGGTCTCCCAGGCAGAAGGCTGGCCTCCCAGTTTACCAGGCTGAGGCCGGGCCCTCTGCTACCCCCCATGAATTGCCCCTTCAAATTGCCCGGAGTCTCTCTGGGTCGCTGCCAAGCCCAGGAGCAGGGTGAGAGTAAACCGCTGGGTGGGCAAAGAAATGCGCCTGCAGTTTCTCTCCTGTGCCTCACGGGGGTGGGGGGTGGGGAGGGGGGGCGTTCGGAGATGAACGAACACCTACAACCAGGGTGCGTTCGTATATTTCACAAACCCCAAAGGTAGCTTTGGTGCAGCATACAAATAAAAAAGGTCTGACCGGAGCCTTTTGTGGTTTCCGCAACCACGGACCCCAGGGGCCTCTGCACCCCTTCCCTACCCCTCCCTGCGCCCCCTGGCCAGGCGCCACCCGCCACCAGCTGCATTTCAAGCTGGGCGTGAGGTCGGCCTGGTCCTGAGGGAAGCGCCCAGCTCTTGCTGTAGAACTGTCTCTCCAGCCCAGTGCAAACCTGTCACCCTCCCTGACCATTCTGGTCCACTGGACCCTACGCTCCCTGAGCCCCCACTGTCCCCACACCGCGGCGCGCGCCCCGCCATCCGCAACATCACTACAAGCTCGCTTCCTTTTCGATGGTCTAATGGGAGGGCTCTGCGCCCCCTCCGCCCCCCAACACAGGGACCGGGCACAGAAGGGGGGACTCCACAGGACCTGTCACCTGACACTAGGCACACGCCCTCGGCCACCTTCTCAACCCTCCCCTTCAAAACCAAACAAAAACGGCAAACAGGAAACGCTCGTCTTTTAAAAATTACTCTATTATTATCAAATAGAACCACAGTATCCAAAAGGTAATTATAAAGTTCTAGTCCCCAACTAAGTGGCCCTACACCGCCCCTCCGAGTGGCCGGCGGCCAAATCACTCCCCCCGTGCTGATTGGTTTCATCCATTTTATTGTCAAGGAAATTAACAGCCCGAAGGGGTTCCCCAGGTCCGCGCACTCCCCCCCCACCCCGGGGCCCCCGGTAAACACGGCAGCAAGCGACCTGGTCTCACTACCCCCGTGTCCTTGGGAGGAGGGACGAAGGGAGGAGTTGGGGGGGGGAGGCTCACGGCAAAGGGGCTGGAAGCGCCCCGCCCCCGCCCGCCCGGTGCGGCGGCGGCGGCGGCGGCCAGGCAGGTGTCCGGGGCGGGCCGGGCCGCGCAGCTGGCGGCGCACATGGCCGGGGCGGCGCGGCGGCGCGCGCGCTCACTCGCCCGTGTGGGTCCGCAGGTGGTACTTGAGCGACTGCTTGTAGCGGAAGCACTTGGCGCAGTGCGTGCAGGGGTAGGGCCGCTCGCCCGTGTGCGCGCGCTGGTGCTCCAGCAGGTGGTGCTTCTGCGTGAAGCGCTTGCCGCACTCGGCGCAGTGGTAGGGCCGCTCGCCCGTGTGGATGCGCCGGTGCTCGAGCAGGTGGTGCTTGCGGATGAAGCTCTTGCCGCACTCGGGGCAGGCGTGCGGGCGCTCGCGCGAGTGCACGCGGCAGTGGTTGGTGAGCTTGGACTTCTCGCTGAAGCTCTTCTCGCACTCGGGGCACTTGAAGGGCCGCTCGCCCGTGTGAGTCCGCTGGTGGCGCAGCAGGTGCGACGGGCGGCTGAAGCTCTTGCCGCACAGGCTGCAGATGAAGGAGACCTCGTGCTTGCCCGCGTGCACGCGCTGGTGGATCACCAGGCTGATGTGCAGGCGGAAGCTCTTCTTGCACTCGGGGCACGTGTAGGGCCGCTCGCCCGTGTGCGTGATCTGGTGCTTGGTCAGGCTCGACTTGTGGCTGAAGCTGCTGTCGCACTCCGGGCACTTGTAGGGCTTGGGGCCGCCGCCGCCGCTGCCCGAGCTGGGCGACTTGGGGCGCGGCTTGAGCGTGTGCTTGGGGGCGAAGCCGGGCCCGCGCTCGGGGGACGCGTAGCCGCCGCGGACGCGGTGGATGCGCTGGTGCAGCGTGAGCTGCTGCTTGTGGCGGAAGCTGATCTCGCACTCGGCGCACTCGTACGGCCCCTCCTTGATGTGGTTGCGCTGGTGGATGATAAGGTTGATCTTCAGCCGGAAGCTCTTGCCGCACTCCATGCAGGTGAAGGGCCGCTCGCCGCGCCGGTTCCGCTGCTGCTGGCTCGCCGAGCCGCGGCTGTCGCCCGGGTGCCGCTCCCCGTGCGTCGGCGGCGCCAGCCGCTTCACGGTGGGCTTGGCCAGCTGCAGCGGCGGGGGGCTCTCCTCGCCCTCGGGCGACAGCTCCCCGGGCAGCGGCGTCTGGTACAGGCCCGCCTCGTAGCGCCCGGACAGCTGCCCGAGGGCCTGCAGGTGCTGCGGCAGCTCGTCCTCCTCCTCCTCCTCCTCCTCCTCCTCCTGCTCCTCGGTTTTGATCACGATCCCCTCTGCTCCAGGGACAGGGAGAGAGAGACGGAGAGAGGTCAGCTGTTGCCCGGGGCGTCTGCCCGGGCGGGGAGCGGGCGGGCGAGGCGCACTCGCCCCCACGCGCTCCCTGTGTCTCAGCGGGCCCAGGGCCTTCTTTTGGGAAAACGCTCCTTTCCACTCCCTGCCGCCCACGCCGTGCCCGCCTCCAGGGGACTGGGGGTCTGACCCGGGCGGGCCTCAGGTTTGGGTCAGGAAGGAGCCGGGACCCCCAAGTGGCCCGTGGGAGCCCTCTCTGGGCATTCTATGCAGAGAGCAGGGAAGGGGCCGCCGGTGGCCATCAGCTAACAGCGGGCAGCAGCCAGCAGGAAAGAAGGAACCGGGTGCGCAGAGCCCCCTGGGTGGCACTCAGGTCCAGGGTGCCTGAAGCTGGCAGGCCCTGGACCTATCAATTCAGGGGGCCAGCAAGCACGCCTTCCCTTTTCACTTAGGCTACTTGAGGGGTGGGTTTCTACCACCTGTGTGGAGGGTCTGGACTCCTTGGGTCTCACCATTTTCCGGCGCTAAGGCCTCACTGGTCTCCTTCTTTCCTGAGCGCACCTGTGGGCTTCTCCTCGGGTGCCTCTACTCGCCGTCCTCCAGCAGCTCCCCCCTCCTCTCCATGTCCCCAAATCACCCGGGGCACCCCCCCACCTCCAATCCTGTCTTTGCCCTAAAGCCTTCCTTGACCTGTCCAAGTGGCTGCCCTCCAGCCACCCGCCCGCCCCCCCCCCCCGGAGCCAACAGCACAAGCCAGTGCAGCCCCCAGGACTGAGGAGCGCATGTGGGCACCACACCCGCATCGCCGTGCTGTGTGGGCTGTTCAGGAACACCCGGACTGAAGGACGGCCTCCTCCCCGCCCTCCACCCTCTAGGCTGGCCCTTCAGGGCCCACGTTATTAGCTATTCTGCACCGCGTTCTATAGTGTCCCCGAGACCCTAAGTCCTAGAGGAAAGGAGTGGCCTCTGACTCCTGTTTGCATTTTCTCAAATGCCTTGCACTTACTTGGCCACCCCCTTAACACTGATAATTGGACACAGCGACTGTGTGACAGGAGAGAGGCACTCACCTTCCTAGGCCCACCTGTGAGGTGGAAGGTGCAATGATAGTCAGCATTTGCAGAATTCTTAAAAGCAGACAAACGAGAACTCTTTCAAGTTCTCGCCTGAGAACTTGGTCTTTTTATTCACTGTCTCTTAGAGGGTAAGTCAAGCAACACAGACGTGGGGCATCCACCCCAGAGAGGCCGAGTGACAGTTGTGAATAAAGTAAGGGAAGCTAGACCTTTTCAGGCTTGCAATTTAGGGGCCACCTAGTTTGTCTCCTCAGCTGACAGGGAAACGAGCTGGCAGCGTGCATGAGCTGGCCACGGTCTTACAAATTCGTTAGTGACCGCTGGGCCACCGCACTTTCTACTTTTCTGAACCCAGGACACGGCGGGACATAGGTGTGCCAGTCCCTGCTCAGGCTGGATGACAGATTCTCAGCAGCAAGTGACCCAGCACATCTGCGGAACAGGATGCATAAAAGATCAGGAAGGAGGAGGCAGCTTTAGAGGTCGGTAATTAGTTGCCCTGGTGCTTATCCTGAAAATGAGCGTTGTTTCTGAAAGGCCCAGGGGAAGTATGGGACTTGGGACATTTAAACCCTCCTTGAGGGGCGCCTGGGTGGCTCAGTCAGTTAAGCATCTGACTTTGGCTCAGGTCAAGAACTCACAGTTTGTGGGTTCGAGTCCCACCTCGGGCTCTATGCTGACAGCTCAGAGCCTGGAGCCTGCTTCAGATTCTGGGTCTCCCTCTCTCTCTGCCCCTCCTCTGCTTGCTCTCTCTGTCTCTTTCCCTCTATCAAAAATGAATAAACATTAAAAAAAAAAAAACCCAAACTCTCCTTGAGCATCAAAGTTTTCGTTTTTTTCAATGAAGTAAGAATGAAACAGCTAGCCCTAAAATCCAAGACTCCAAATCCCACCCAGAGCCGTTCAGTAATTTCCTAAGGTTCCCACCAGAATCAACGGGTGTGCCCAGCGGGGAGTCTGGCCTTCCTAATGCGAGGCTTCGCTGTGGCACAGCCTCAGAGTCGGCACTGCGTCTTTCACTGGTTTTCACAGACAGCATATGGTATATTAGAAGGATTTCTGGAATATCATGCAGTTCTTTGAAAACAAGGAGTTAGAGCCACATCTTTTGACCGAGAAAGATGTCCGTGCTATTTTATGAAGTACAAAAAAGGCAAACTGCAATGGAATCCTCTACAAAGCGAAAAAATTTTTAAAAATCATCGTAATACTTTTAAAAACCCAGTAAGTAAAAAAATGGATGTGGATCCAGTTCTCAGTACCAACGGTATATACACAGATATGATAGTTAAGGACTCTTTTGCACAGAAACAAAACTTCTGAACAAAAATCAGAGCCCAAGTGTGTTCCTTAAAAATGTGGGAGAACTCACTGAATTCCTACCTCCCACGTTAGTTTCAGG